AAAAAAAAAAAAAAAAAAAAAAAAAAAAAAAAAAGACAAGAACATACAAAGCACCTTATTTGTGTTTCTAGTCTGTTTAGGTCCAGTAAAGAATAGAGACAACTGTACATTGTTTTTATTATTGAGTCTGGAAAAAAAATCCTATGTAAATAAATTATAATGATTTGGACATATATACACCGCTACCCCAATATAACGTGACCCAATATAACACGAATTCGGATATAACGCGGTAAAGCAGTGCTCCGGGGGCGGGGCGGGGCTGCGGTGGATCAAAGCAAGTTCAATATAACACAGTTTCGCCTATAACACGGTAAGATTTTTTGGCTCCCGAGGACAGCGTTATATCAAGGTAGAGGTGTATGTGCATATTTATTTGTTTTTCCTAAAGTTAATTAAGTATTTTAGGAAAAATTGTCAGAGCGGCCACCAGCAATCGTGTCACAGGTTTCATGGCCACCCAATCCATGTAATCACAGACTCAATGCCCATGCTACTACCCCTCCCATAGCTAAACTATGAAAACCTTCCATAACTGGCAATGTGCAACTGGCACCAAACCCACCTTTAATGCCTGCAGGGAGTGCAGTCCTGTGTGCCTGCTCCTTGTCCTTCTTTGGCACAAAAGAATAGCTGCAGTTCCCTGTACTGGAGACCTGACACAGCCCCTCCACTGACAGGTGAAATGTAACCTTTATGCAGGTATATGAACATATATGTAAAACGTTTCACTGTGAAGAGCTACTATTTTCAGCAACTATTTTGACATTCTGAAGCAGGGTAGGATGCCACATACCAGAAACATCAAGAGACACTGAAAAAGTAGTGATCATTTTGAACACAGCTCCCAATAACAAGTTACACCTACTTGATATTGTTGTGAACATCCTTAGGAATCTTAAGGAGTTCAAGAGAGACGCAATGAACATGAGTGAGTATATGTATGTATGTGATTATTATATACTAGTATTCATTTTATTTGCCAGGGTTATGCTTGAAAAGCTTTCCCAAAATGATTATGTCCATGCTGAATTGTAATTCTATCAAGTTTAAGGAAAATTATGGATAAAACAAATTGAAGCAGCAGGTGAGGTTATGCACTTTTGAGATTCTCACACAGTATTTATTTATTTATTTATTTAAGAACATGTGTCAGAAACCTTTTCTATTACAGTTGTGTCCTATCTAACTGGAATAGGGAAGGTTCCGCAAAGGAAAAGCAAATTTGACTCAGTGTTCTGGTTGACTGTGTGAAAGAGCACATGTGTAATGTGGTTTTTAGTTCTTTTGAAAACAGCTTTAGATGCTGATGGAGCAAAAACTGCAGTTTTATTGATACTGCATGTAATGTATATGTTTATATAGGCCTTAAGTTCTTTTTTATTGAGAAAAATGGTAAAATTTTGAGATAGTTTGACTAGATGCACGTTTGCGATCATTTAGAAAGTACAGGATATAACAAAACTTCGAGGTTCTATTGTATCTAAGTTTAATAAAAAAAAAAACTTCCACAAAATAGTTTTTTCCTCCTTTAACCAAATGTAGAACTTCCTACCCACTATTCAAAAAATTACACTTTGACAAGGACTACAAGGAACAATATTCAATCCTGCATCAGTAACAGATGTTGTATATGTTTGAAGTCCAACATGCACAGCTAGAAACAGGACCTTTATACCATTGCAAAGGGGAAATTCTCTCAGACCCTGAAGGGCTGCAATATCAGTCTTGAAAATCCCAATATTGGTGTCTAGAAAAGCTACTTTAGTAATTTATTCTGGTTATTATGCCTCCCTTTGACGCCTACAGAGCTAGGTTCATAGTAACTATCGCCCCAAAGCTACATCAGGATTTGCAAACAAGGACCCCTGAACCAAGTAGACTCAATATAGGCATATGGGTCCCCACTTGCAGGTCCCAGTACAAGATCAGGGTGGATGCTCTTACAGGAGGAGGGGAACAAAGAAGAGCTCCTCCACAAAATATTAAGAACACTTGAAAACATTCCTAAAAATAGTATTTCTGCACCATATTTGGCACATTCTAGAAACGTGAACGGGAGATGTGGTATAAAGATTTGAAAGACATTTGTTTGGAAAAAATATGCATGACTCACTCATGGCTTAACTATTTGTGAATAACGCATCTATCCCAAGCTTATGCTGATAAAGCAGGGGTGGGCAAACTTTCTGGCCCCAGGGCCACATCTGGGTGGGGATATTGTATGCAGGGCCATGAATGTAGGGCTGGGGCAGGGGGTTGAGGTGCAGGAGGGAGTGCAGGGTGTGAGAGGGGGTGCGGTGTGCAGGAGGGAGCTCAAGGCAGGGGGTTGGAGTGCGAGAGGGATGTGTGAGGTGGCTCATGGTGCAGGAGTGGTGCGGCAGGGAGGCTCAAAGCAGGGATGCAGGGTACAAGAGGTATTCGGGGTGTGGGCTCCGGCCCGGCACTGCTTACCTCGAGTGGCTCCGGGGTGGCAGCGGTACGCAGCAGGGCTAAGGCAGGCTCCCCTGTCTGCCCTGGCCCCGCGCTGCTCCCGGAAGTGGCCAGCATGTCCAGCAGTGGCTCCTGGGGGTGGGGTGGGTACCACCCCGGAAGCTCCTATTGGCCACGGTTCCCAGCCAATAGTAGTTGGGGGGGTCGGTGCCTGAAGGCGAGGGCAGCGCACAGAGTCCTCTGTCCCCTTCCCCAGGGGCCCGCAGGGACAAGGTGCTGGCCGCTTTCGGGAGTGGTGCAGGGCCAGGGCAGGCAAGGAGCCTGCGCCTGCGCCCGCTGCGCCACGTGGCTGGCAATCCCGTGGGCCGGATTGAAAGCCCTGATGGGCCGGATCCAGCCCGCGGGTCGTAGTTTGCCCTCCCCTGTGATAAAGCCTTTACATCACGCCATAATGCACTCTAGCTATCTATAAATAGATACACTGTATATGAGAGAGAAGATATTACAAACAGCATGAGTCATACAAGGAACTGAGTTTTGGAGAACAGCTTTGTCCTAAACATTAATTTTGTTTTCAGACCACGGGGTTGCAATAACCACTGCAGAGCAGGGAAAAGGTGTGTCTATTTATCTTTAATTTTAATGATATCATAACTACACCAGATATCCACACAAATGCATTCTCTACTTTGTAATGCAACATGATTCAAAAAAATACAAATAGCAGCATGATTTAAAAAGACTGCTTTTCAGTCAAACAACAATACAAGCTAGTAAGTACAATACACAAGAACTGTTTCACTTTGTACTCACTCTTACAAAGTTGTCAGGGAACAAACCTCTTCTGCCTTTGAGCTGTCCTTCCCACCAGCCTCCAGTCTCTTTCTTGATATTGGTGATTATGTCACCTATTGTGATTGTCAGCTCATCATCATGTTGAGCCTTGTAGTCAAATTCCACTATCGCCTCCACTAAAAAAGAAACAGACACATGTTACAGAGCGTTAGAGACAGTATTTATTTTCAGTCAGATTGATTAAAGTCTTCATGGCTTCAGAGGTAAAAAGAAAAACCAACCAACCAACCCGGTAACAGCTGCTCAACAACAGGAATAGCATCAGATTAACCTTGAAGACTTCATACAACAGCAGCATATTAGGGACAAGGGCTGGTGGGGGAGAGATCCTTTGAGAAGCCCTTTATAACTAGTTGACAGGCAGCAATTTGTATCAGTTTATTTTATATTTATCTTTTAATTTAAAAAAAAAAATCAATTTGTGTCGCTGCAGCAGTATCCATTCAGATGTAAGCATTACAAACTGGTGTCTACTTCTGGGAAAAGATTATGGTTTTTCTCCTTGTTACTTTACAAATACTTGCTTTATTTCAGTACCATTCTGAAATGGTGTTCAAATCCATACCATTCAAAACCATAGCCATTTACTCAGTTTGCCAGACACATCATTGCTACCCCCAGAAGCATTTATTAAAATTTCTGCATGATGCTAAGTTTCACTATAACAATCTTTCTATAAGCATGATGCATTCAGAAATGCAGAGCTCAGCCTGGCAAAGCTTTGCTATGTACATATACTCTCTTAGGATTTCACTGAGGAGGAAAAATTGATGTTCACTTGCAAAATGATTATGCATCAGAGGATGTGAAATTCAAATATTACTATTGCGCCAAATGTCAACTATCAAACACAAACTTGTTGTTGCTCCTCTACCAGTATTTCATCATGCCAGGTAGAATGCCTTATTCTCTTCCCAGAAGAATAAAAGCCCCATAAACCCAAACCCCTCAGATTCTCTCATATAATATTATAAATATCTATATCAATATCGTGCATATCTAGATCTCTCACTGGAAGGACCTAGGGAATTCATAAAGGCAGGAATAAGCTATTAGAAATGGGTAAAGTTTCCTCCCCCCACCCCTGTACCATATCACTGAGCTCTTCCTCTGTCAGTGTGGAATTGAGATCTACAGTAAATTTCCTGGTGCTTTGTCTAGTCTAATTTTAAAAATCTCAGCCATAGGGCTTTCATCACTTCCCTCAAGAGAGAAATCTAAATCTAACAGATATCACCATCAGGAAGTTTTTCTGATTATTGGCCTCAGTCTTACTTTTGTTTATTTCATTCCATTACTTCTTGTTATAGCCCCTTGTATCACTCTGATACATTTCTCTAGTAGGGAATGGAAAATCTTTTTTCTAAATACTTCGTATTTTACTTACTGTGGCAAAATATTTTTTTTTTAAAAGAAGCCAATATCAGAGGCAAGCCATGCAGAAGGAATTAATAACTTTTCTGCTACTATGAAGATGATGCTCAATGGTAGAGTGAAATTTTTGTTAGTTTGTTTGCTTGTGTTTGTTTGTTTTTGGCACACTAGAACAACATTTTCCCCCAGGTGCTGTTCTCACTTATTTTCACCCCTGAAACAACCCTCCTAACCAAAATTACTGTATTCTTATCTCTAGAAGCTCTCTCAGCGGCTACCAAAAGAAGAGTGGATGCCAGAATCTCCGGAATAGATGCATTTAGAAAGCCCCATCTCCTGTGATGGGAAATCATGCCCTAAGGACATTCTGTAGAACATTTACCCTTTAAGAGGTTGAAGCAGCAAGAACAGAAATACCCACATTCATCTCCTTTCTGTGCAGATAACTGTGTGTGTCATGTAAGACATCATGAGAGTGAACTCTCAAGGAATCACGGTGCTGGCACAGCGAAAGGAACATATACCATTAAACCAGGAACAGGGTGTTGTTGCCCCCTGCTGGAGGCCCTGCCACCTTGACACCATCACCCTCAGATAGCCTTTTGGAGAAAAAGAGGAGTGCGTTCATTCTTTCAAGAGCTGCCTAGAGAGGCCATCCAGGATCAGCTGCTGGCAGAACCAACAACTGTCCTCCACCATCAAGCAGGGTGATGAGCAGGCAGAATCCAATCAGGGCCCAGCAGGGGGCAACACCACCCTGTTACTGGCTGCTTCTTCCAGGAGCCAGTTCTGGGTGAAGTTGGAACGGGGATGAAGAATGTCTCCAGTCTTAACCCAAGAAACCCAGCTTGGTCAGAGGCCACACTCTGACCACACTTTATTGTAATTGGACCAGTGAAGTGTTCATTTAGATTACGAAATTTAAAGCCCAGGTGGTCATCTTGAGTTAAATATCAATTTACAGTTGTAAAATGAAGGCGAGCGAAACCCCACTGGCCCAGACAAGACCGTGACACCACCACAGATAGTAAGACAATCCCAATAACATTCCACCTAACCTATAAAGGGATAGTACATTATATCGAACTAGGTTGGTAAGAGAGTATTGTTATTCCTCCCATCCCAAAGAAGTCACACACATATGTATACACATATTTTCTTGTTTCTTGGGCAATATTAACACAGACAGAGATTCACTTAGCTATAGCTAGAAGAGCATGATTGCTTTTGGCCAAGGGTTAAAGGCCACAACACATCTTGAACTTCTGAATGTCCTGGAGATCTTTCATCAAAACATACTAGTCTCATCTCACATTAGATAATTAAAGATTTCTAGTCCTACCAAGACTTAGACATCACAGCCACCATTTGGCATCATAATTAAGGCTGTGAGTTTGTCACAGAGGTCACGGATTCCGTGACTTTCCGTGACCTCGGTGACTTCTGCAGCAGCCGGTGCGCCTGGCTCAGGCAGCCCCTGTGCCAGGCGCAGGGCAGTTTCGGGCCCCTGCCCCGCAGAGTTTGGCTGTGAGAGGGGAAAGGGGGTTGGTGCACCAGACGGGGTGAAGCGGGCTCCGGGAACCGCGGCAAATGGGAGCTGCGGGAGCAGTGCCTGCAGGCGGAGGCAGCGCAGAGTGACTGGCCACTCCTCCGCCTCGGACCTTAGCCAGGGGGATGTCAGTGCTTCCAGGCAGCCCCCGGGTAAGCGCCGCTCAGAGCCCGCCTCACCCCATCAGGTGCCCCAACATCCTGGCCCCTCCCACACCCAAACTCTGCTGCGGGGGGTGGGCGGAGCCAGCTAGGGAGCCTGCCAGCCCCAACCCTCCCCACCAGCGGGGGTCCCAGGCCATTTGCCGCCACCCCCACCCTCCTCCTCCAGGCAGCTCCCACCCCCCCAAGTTTTATTCACTGGTATTTTTAGTAAAAGTCATGGACAGATCACAGGCTGTGAATTTTTGTTTACTGCCTGTGACCTGTCCATGACTTTTATCAAAAAATACTCATGACTAAAATAACCTTAATCATAATGAATCCAAAATACCCACAAGTGAGATCACGGGCACCTTAAAGAAGCTAGAGATGGAAGAAACCATTTTAATGCATAATGGTGAATTTGTCAAACACAAATAATGCTCATTCGGCATTGGAGGCTAAAGTCTAAAGGACAATTTTGTTCAATGGATAGTTTACATTTGGTTGCCAGCTTTGGTCCACCCGTGAGACCACAGATTATGAGGATGCCATTGCTAGCCTTCTAGGAGAACCATTAAGATAGGGAATTTATCAGTCATGGCGCCTTTTTAGGGTTCCAGGAAGAAAGATCTGCTGGTGAGAACCTCTGGCCCTTGTATGGGGACCACAAAACAAAAGAAACAATACACAGCTGAGGCCATAAGGGGCTCACTGCTTGTAAAACAAATAGCAAGACCTGTAGCATATGTGAGATGAAGTCCAATACCACTTCTTATAAGAAATTTACTTTCAATCAGAGCTTGAATCAGACACCTAACTAAGGGCCCTACTAATTTTCCATATTGTTCATAGATGCACATATCCCCTTCTGGTGGGCTGAGTGGTCGGTTAGTTGAGAAGCATATCCATGCTGCAGCCCTGGCGAGATCGCTAGAACTCAGGCGGCTTCAGGGTTTAAGCAATGAGGCACGTCACTATTGTAGGCCTTAAATAATTTTTTCAGCCTTCAGTCCAGGCAATGCATTTTCCTCTTTGAGGGCAGGAGCTTATGTGGCCCAAGCCCTTCTTTTAAAAAAGCCTACTTCTGTAATATGGCCCAACTGCCTCCAGGTCTGACAGCTTGTGAAGTCCCTTTGGTAGGTGTCAGGTCCTTCTGCTCTCTTCCAAGGAAGCCTATTAGCCTCCATCCTCATCTTGCTGAAAGTGGAGTACGTAACTCTGCCATAGCCGCCCCACACCCCTCAGTTGCTATGAATGAACTTTTCCAAAAATGGGGGGAGAAGAGACAGGAAGGGATCAGAGTTCTAGGCTCACTCCCAGTACTGGCTCTTCAAGTTACACAGCCTCCCCATTCCCTGGCTGCTGCAAGAAGAAGAGTGAAGGAAACGGATCAATACTGTACAACTCTCTTAGTCTTTATTTTTGAATCCTCTTTCTCCATAAATAATTCCAGTACCTGGCTCTGACGTTGCATCCGCAGCTCTCCCAAGGAGCAGTGTAAAATTGATATGACTTCATTTTATTCTGTATTTTATTCTGAATAGCACCAATAAAATTGACCATACTGCTGTTAATTGGACTTTGCAGCTGCTTGGGGAAGCTATAAGCTGCTGCTGCAGAGGAACTGGAACTGCTACATATATCTTTGCAACCGTAAGTGCTAGGAACAATTTTTTGAAACGGAAGTTAAATTAAACACAGATGTATGTGCTCTTTCCCCAGAAAACTTCCCACTCACTGATACTTCTTAAATTCTGCATCCTATCAGGAAACTCCAAAGTTATTTCTTAAATGTGTGTGACCTGATGATGGTATACAAAACAGCAGCTGGCACAGCAAGGGAGAAATTTCACAGAAGCCGGATAATTGTATGAATTTTTTCAAAAAAAGCTAAGAAATCCGTAGCTCCAGGAGGGTGGTGAATAGGGTAAATCTAAGGAATGTGAAAATCATTGTGACAAACTAATGAAAAATACAATTCTGAAAAAAAAGACACCCAAGTTCCCATGTATCAAAAAATAGCACATAAAAGCCTAACGGTGCTTTATAA